AAAATCTCAATCGTTAAGCAGATTCGAGGGACTGACGATGGCCCCTCCATACAAATGCTTAACGGGCGCTCCGTTCGGAACCGGCCTATTACCGCTAAACAGAAACAAACAATTGGACAACAATTATATCGCTCCGACCGCTTGCTTCGGGGGAACCGTTCAGCAGGAGAATTGAAATCTCCGGATCCATTTCATGCCGCTCCCGAGTGAAACGAGTTGTCGGAAGTCAACGTCTGAAACCTTCCCACCGCCATGTGACTCACCCGACCAAAGTACGGTACGTCACGATAGAGCGAACCGACTTTTCCTCTAAGTAGGTGAGGCTGCCCGTCATCCGCGGTCCGCTGAACTAAGAACTCTCAGAGTTCTTCCCAGTTTCTCAGTTCTCACCTGAGCTGGATCACCATCGGTAATGATCGCCGAAACGGTTTCTTCTGAATGTCGCCGAGGCTCGTTCCGATGGAACTTCGAGTGATTCGGAATCGCTCTCGGAGCACAATTAAAACACGACTGAGGGGGAGATATAAGCCGTCTTTCGATTCAGCTTCATCCTTCATCGCACCCGAAGCAGTGTCGGACTTCGCGGCAATATCCTCAATCTGACGGAGAAGCGAAGCTTGCCATCTACGGCGAAACGTTATCGGTAAGTGTCTGAGGGGATCGCAGTACTCGGGGAATCGCTTGCCCAACCGACTGTATAGGTATTGGTAATGGTATTCATTGATCTTCTAATGCCCTTCGAGCATATACAGTCACGAGATCCTGTTTCAGGGGCGATTTCTCAGCAGATCCTACGCGCTTTTCTTTCCCTTTCTTCCAGCAGTCTTCTAGAATGATGATTTGATGAGGGTCGTATACGCCAGGCTCATCCTTCGATGCGGCACTAACGGCTCGCGACTCGAAAGAAGATGCTGCGACATATTTTGAAGTGGGCGCATATCGCCATGACATACAGGTGTACGGAATGACGCCTTTGAGCATCCATAATCGGTAGCCCAGAGGGCCAAGGTTGGTGCGTTTGATGGACCGCGGACTATGATGTCGCGGGATGAATAGCCATGCGGGCCAACGTGGAAGCCGGCTTTAACTTGAATTTTTTCTAAAAATTGGAACGGTCGAAATCGACTGCTTCCGGGGTGTCCCTATGTGAGAAGCCTTGAGAAAGCTTTTTGTCTTGCTGCGAGCGGTGCAATTTCTCTTGATTTGATCCCGGGCTTCCGTGAACATCGTTCCCTTGCTAACGAGCATCGGTCGATCGTACCGTCGAAAAGACAGTCAGTCGGCGAGGGCGTCAATCCAAGTAAGGCTCGTCGTGAGTGCACGGCCCTCAGCGTGCTGGCTCAGTCTTCGGGAACTGAGAGCTCTTCGAGCTTTATGGGTGAATAACGAGTTCCCGCTATGTCAGTGCGGCATCACTCTCAGATCGGACTGGAGCCGCCTAATTGGAGTGAATATGCGCCAGGCCGACCCAATTCTCAGAGGCATTCCCAGGCGACCCCGGGGTGTGTTTCATCCACGGGGAAGCGGCCGATCGATCGCTCGTTCGTGGGTTCCTTCCTTTTCCGACTCGTTGTTTCCGACGCATGCGTACCTAACTGGAAATCGCAGCTCGATAGATGAGTGATTCCCATACGAGAATGAGTCTGTGGAAATGACGGAAGCTATCGGTCGGCTCGAATTTACGCTACGGATTTGATTCCACCAAGAGCTCCTCCGGCATCGGTTCCCGAGCCCCAGTAGACGGATCTTAGCATTTGAGCGTGCGCCGAGAGCCCAGGAGACGGTGAAGCACACGGTCAAGCGAAACCGCCGAGCCGTCCCCGACATTATGCCTCTCTGACAAGTTGCAACCCATCTTCTCTAGCGGAATGGCATGTCTCCAGCGAGGTATCGGGAGACCGCCGTTTCGGCCGCATCGGTGAGGACTCTCTTGTCGAGTCCCACGAGATTCCTCCATGGAATTATTAATTACGGGGCTTAATCCGGAGCAGAACGCGTCCGAATAAGCTCCTGTAGAGACTCAATTGGAAATGACGCGGAACAAGCATGCTCTTTAGGCTTGGCATCAGCACCCCCAGCTAAGATAAACTAGCGCAGCCACCAAATGTTCAGGGGTGGGAGAACCAGCAATGGCAAGTGTTCGCTGTTCTCGAGAATGCGGCGTGAAGCTCGGCCATCAGCTTCATCATCATGGCCGTCGTCCTCATCATCATCATTCTCTTCACCAACACCACCATCACTATCCTCTTTTTTCAGGGCCTCTGTCTCCTCATCTTCACGATGTTCTTCTTTTTTTTTTCGTTGGGTGATGATTGGTGCGGCGCGCTCGGTCCTCCTCCTCCTCCTCGCTAACAGCAGCAAAGGCATCAGCAACGACGGTGGCGGCTCCAGCGCCTCCTCTTCTTCTGAGCTGAAATGATGAAACGGAGAGCTCAGGTGAAGAAGGTGATTCTGGAGAAAATAGGTAGACGAAACTGTTTTTTTTCTGATGCTCGTCCCCGTCGCTCCGCGTGTCCGTTCGATCGCCTCCATCATATCTAGCTGACTGAGCTGCTGCTGCCGCCGCCGTCTCCAATCACGGTCGTGCTAAACTTATCCTTTTTCCGGGGAGGGACAGCATACCGAAGCGACCGATATGGGCATTGCTCGCACGCGGCAATACCACACCAACCTGATCGGAGTTCTCCATCGCCGCTATCGATTCTGAATCAGAAGCTATAATCTTTTCTCGGAAGGACAATCTCGGCGCTCTTCGAGAAGTTCCTCCCTCATCGGATATCCATACCCGTCAACTGGTCTCTTTTTTCGCAAATGAGGGCAACCTTTCGGGCGTTGTCATCGCCACCGACGTCATCGTTCTTGCTGTGGTTCTTGATCGAGCAACTCGCGAGGCGGCCAACAGCAAGTCAAATCGACGGCTGGACCGTCGGTCTGCCATCCGCAAAGCAGTCAAAAGGAGTCACTGGCTCACCAAAGGAGCGAACGAAGAGCTGCCACCTAAAGTGATGACGAGACCCGTCGTTTCAGTCAACAATCGACGGCGGTCAACGTCCATCGCTTCGGCTTTGCGTTGATGATGATTTGGGTGAAGATCTAGAGACACGATTCGAAGAGCAGCAGCTCAAGACGCCGCCGCCGTCAACACATAACACAACTCGTCTTAGCTGTCGTTGTCGCAATTGGATTCGAGGGAAATCCGCGCGAACAAGTAGAGAAGAGCGAATAAAGAAAAAATCGTCTTTCCGAGCATCCTACCGCTCGATTTTGATCGGTAGGTACATCTGTTTCTGGCTGCCAGCAGTCGAATTCTCTCAGTCAGTCAGACCGCATGCGTATTCGCTTATCCCGATCACTGATCAAGCGACGACCGGCCGGCGCGGCGAACGGACGGGCTGACTATTTGATTCGTCTATTGATTAGGTGAACGAGCGTTTCCTCGGCGTCCTCTGAGAAACCGCGGATTCAAGTCTACACACCGAACGACAAGATTCGACGAAGCAATTTAACACCTCAGCCCTCTGTGGAGATATGGAGCGTCAAGTACGTTTGAAGATAAGCGGGCTGCACACAGTGAGCGAAGATGCTTCGTGGAATCGTTTTCGGAGATAGTGCACCCAAGCGTTCGTCCGATTCCTCGCCCTCTTACGCATTCTCGATCATTTCGCCCAAGTCGTTTCTCCTTTTGACGCTCCGAGCGGATCGAGACTGCTCGCTTGTCGACGGAAGGTCTCCCCGAAAATATTGATTCGCCAACGGCTAGAGATCGGATAACGATGATCAAAGGGAGAAAGAATAATGTAAGTTTAAGACTCTGATCTGTTCCCCTATCCGACGCCAAGAACAGAAAGGAACGACAGTCGACGCAGCAGTGAGCGAGAGAAAGAGCACCCGACTACAGTGCTCGCTACGAATATCGGCGTGCGGACTGCCTGTAGGAGTGGCAGTCGGCAAATGGCGGTGGAGCGCTGCACTAGCGAGCCACCTCTCCAAGGGAAGCTTTGTATGTATATATATTTAGGAGGGAAGGAAGGAAGGTAGGCAGGCAGGCAGGCTGGAAGGTACGCAGAGCGGGAGATGGGTGATCAGACGAACGGTCGGTCCGTCGGTCGCTCGGTCGGTCGGGCGAGCGAGCGAACCAGCGAACAAACGGGTGAGGGTGAGGACGAAGGGTCGACGGAGGCCCAACTCCAGTGCTTGCTCCGCTTCACGACCCTCTCCCATTTGGTTGTTCTCTTTCTCGAAAGGGGAGGCCTCTCTCTCAGACCAGGAGAGGATTTCAGGCTATGCTGCCAGCTACGGCTGCTCTTACCATCATTTTTCGACCAAGTTTCGTGGGCTGATGCCGGACGATTTTTTTTCTACGGGACGCTTGAAAAGCTTCTTACGAAAGATCAATCGGTGGTACGATTTATCTTTGTATCAACACACCGGCCAGCCACCAACCCAGCTCTCTGGTCGATGATTGTTCGTTCATCGTCGTGGTGGTCGTATTTCCCTAATTCGTTCCCCTACGACCGTCAGTGAGTGCTTCAACGAGGATTAATTACAAACGTGTCGACGAAACAAAATGTCATGTGGTGTTCAAATTGTTGTCGAGCCGCAGCAAGAGCAGCAGCATCCACAACAACTACCATCGAAACAACAGCAGCAGCAGCAAGTGAAGCAGCTGCTGAGGAGAGAAGCTGAACGGAAGACCGCCACAAATCGCGAACTACGGATACTTTTACAAGTCGTTCCTTGAATCCCCTGTGCCATCCGCCGGATTACAGCGCATTCATCGAGCAACTACGGATAGACAATCGAAACAGACGATTGTATGTGCGGGGATTCGAGACCGCGAGTGTTAATAAAAATGAACTTGTGGGTGGTAATTCATAGCCGCTAGCTAGCGAGCCAGGCAGCCAGCGAGCCAGCAGCCAGCCAGCCAGCCAGCCACTCATCCATCCATCCATTCATCCATCCAATCATCCATCTATCCAAGGAAGCTGGCCGATCGAAGAATGCACGTCGGTCCGAGGAAAATGGCCTCAAAACTGTTGACCGTCGGCTGTGTGCTGGGCGTCTGCGCTGCCCTTCCTCTCGGCTCCAGCGCCCGACTGGTGCGACCGGAGGACTGTACATGGGAGCCGATGTCAGACACACCCGGTGTATCGATGACGTGCTCAGTGAACACTCTGTTGAGCGGACCGAACCCGACAAATTTCTCATTATTAGTGCCAGGTCACACCATGCGCCTGAGTCTTCTGTGTGAAGAGCAACGTTTCCAGAGTGAGATCGCCAACAATTCATTCGAGCACCTGCGAGGCCTGAATACGCTGAGCATTGAAAGATGCAAGTTGGATAAATTGCCACCGAAAGCATTCCTGGGACTAAGTGATCTGAAACATCTAAGTGTTCGAACTTACAACACCGATTGGGGTCGGGTTTCGTTACGTGTCGCCCCGTCTAGTTTTGTACCGTTGGAGAGCATCGAGACGCTCGACATCAGTGAGAACAACATTGAATCGCTCCCGCATGCGCTATTCTGTGGATTAAACGCGCTGCGGTTCGTGAACCTGACAAGAAACAGATTCTCCGACGTGGTCAACACGGGTTTTTCATCAGAGTCACGCTGCAGTCCGAATATTCGAGAGCTCGAGGTAGCTCACAACAAGCTCAAGGTACTGTCCGAACGGGGTTTTGCCTCATTGGGAAATCTTGAAGAGTTGCGTCTCGACCACAACCAGATAGCTCGAGCCGAGCCCAATGCTCTGGTCGGCCTCTCTCGATTAGAGAGGTTGGACATGGCGCACAACATGCTCGTGGCGCTACCTCCCAAGTTTTTCCAATCGAACAGCAAACTCTCGGAGCTCTATCTGCGTAACAATTCCCTAAGTGCATTGCCGCCTGGTTTATTCGGTGGACTTAGCGAATTGACAATGCTCGATCTGGCGCACAATCAGCTCTCAGCAGGATGGCTTGGGCCTGACACCCTTTCGGATCTCAGCAGGCTCACGGTGCTCGATCTGTCTCACAATCGCCTCACGCGTCTCGACACGAACGCGTTCCGAGCTCTCGTGAATTTACAAACGCTTCAGCTCCAAGACAACCTAATTGAATACATCGCTGACAAAACGTTCGCCAGCCTCAGCAAACTCCAGTCGTTGGTGATAAGCAACAACCGGCTGAAAAGCATCGGTCCTCACATGATGGTGGGTCTCTACTCAGTGATGACGCTCCAACTCGAAAACAATCGTCTCGAAGCGATTCACATCGATGCTTTTAAGAACACGTCGATGCTCCAGGAACTCAATCTGGCCGGCAACAAGCTCACGATCGTGCCTCGGGTTGTGTCGTCGCTCAATATGTTGCGATCGCTCGATCTCTCAGACAACGAAGTCCAGGACATATCGAATGCGTCCTATCAGGGACTGGGTCAACTCTATGCGCTCAATTTGATGGGCAATAAGATCGGGAACATAAGCCAGGGTGCGTTCAACGATCTGCCTTCGGTGCGGATTCTCAACTTGGCCCGAAACGGCATACAGGCCATCGAACAAGGAACGTTCGACGACGTGCGCGATCTTCACTACCTGCGTCTCGATTCGAATCAGATCGAAGACGTCAACGGTCTGTTCAGCAACCTGCATGACCTCATCATGCTGAACATCTCCGTCAACCGGGTCCGGTGGTTCGATTACGCGCTCATTCCCGTCGGTCTCCAATGGCTCGACATCCATGACAACCAGATCGAATCGCTCGGAAATTACTTCGAGCTCGAGCAGAGCCTCAAGCTCCGTACGTTGGACGCCTCGTTCAACAAGCTCATCGATCTCGATTCTTCGTCGTTGCCGAACGGAATCGAAATAGTTTTCCTAAAGAACAACAACCTGCGACGGATCCAGCCGTTCACGTTCTTGGGCAAGCAGAACTTGACTCGGGTCGATCTCACCAACAATCAACTCGAAGTCATCGAAATGACAACGTTCCGTCTGAGCGAAGTGTCGAATCGTCGACCGCTCCCGGAATTCGCAATCGCGGGCAACCCATATCTGTGTGATTGCCATATGGAATGGCTGCAAAAACTCCAAAATCCGGCGGCGAGCAGCGACGACTCCCGACAATATCCGCGCGTCACCGATCTCCATAACGTCGATTGTAAGCTGAGCTTCTCGAAGAATGTGAAGACTCTCCCATTGGTCAAGGTGAAACCATCTCAGTTTTTGTGCGAATACAAGAGCCATTGCTTCTCTCTATGCCACTGCTGTGACTTCGATGCGTGCGATTGTGAAATGGTGTGTCCGGACAACTGCACGTGCTACTACGATCAGTCGTGGGAGACGAATATCGTGGATTGCAGTGCTCGACCTGGCAGTCATGTGGATATACCCAAGCAGCTTCCCATGGATGTGAGCGAAGTCTTTCTCGACGGCAATGAAATTCCAGCTCTGACACCGCATTCGTTTATCGGTCGCAAGAGTATGCGGGTCCTGTATCTCAACAACTCTCGTGTGGCCACGATCCAGAATCGTACGTTCGGCGGTCTCCGGGATCTCCGCGTGCTGAGGCTCGAGAACAACCAGATAACGGCTCTTCGAGGGCATGAGTTCGACGGTCTCGGCAATTTGCGCGAGCTCTATCTTAGCAACAACAATCTCAACTACATCAACAACGCAACGTTCAGTCACTTGAAGAGTTTGGAGATCCTTCATCTGAACCACAATTATCTCGTAGAGATCTCGATGACGACCCTCCAACACAATATCCGTTTGAGCGATCTTCGGCTCGCGAAGAATCTTTGGACGTGCGATTGCTACTTCACTCAGGATCTCACCGTGTTCCTCCATGAGCGTGGCGACATGGTCCGTGACATCTTCCAACTGTCTTGCGTTTACAACGAAACCACTGCACTGCCATTGTGGGAGCTGAATGTCACGGAGTGCCACAATCCTTCCGAAGCGACGTTGGTTCGACAGTTCCGACTCATGGGAGATCTCCTTCCTTTGGCCGTTGTTCTCGGCGTTGTCTTGTTGATCATTCTGATCGCTATGCTGACGCTGGTCGCGTACCGACGTCAGATGAGTGTCTGGTTCTTCAGTCGCTACGGCATCCGGATGTTCCAGAGAGCACCTGTCGAAGAGGAGAAACTTTTCGATGCTTTTGTTTCGTACAGCAAGAAGGACGAGGCATTCGTAGCGCAAATGCTCGCTCCAGGGTTGGAGTGTGGCAATCCGCCGTTCCGGTTGTGCTTGCACTACCGGGATCTTCCGATGGTAGGAGGCTACCTCAGCGAAGCTATCCAAGAGGCGGTAGAAAGTTCCCGAAGGACAATAGTGGTTCTTTCGGAGCACTTTCTCAAGAGTGAGTGGTGTCGCTACGAATTCAAGTCCGCTCATCACGAAGTGCTCAACAACAGCAACCATAAATTGGTAGTGATATTTCTCGGAAGGGTTTCGTATCGAGAACTCGATCCCGACATCCGGATGTGGCTCAAACACAGCACTTTCCTACACTGGAAGGAGAAACGCTTCTGGGACAAACTCCGCTATTCGCTTCCTGATGCTCGTCATCGGAAAGTCATGCGGAGCGACGTTACTTCTGTGGCTGTTCATATTTGACCACGGGCGGCGCAGCCCGTGACGCCGTTCCTCGACTTGACCGCGGCCGATTTCTAAACTACTGGTACCCGTGTATTCTTCGACTCTATTCTTCTGGAAATTCGGAGCCCAATCGATGAATGCGAGTTTCTCCACGGCCGCCAGGAGCACCGCCAAATGTCCACGAACACCGCCGCCTCTGTGAGTTGGCCGCCACCTTTTAAGACAACGTCCTCAACTCAAACATGTGATTATTCAACGATACAACGATAACGACGAAGGTGATAAGGTCGTTTGCAGCGCTCAGTGAGTGCACGTGTGTCTGGAGTTGTTAAGCTATGCCGTTTTTGGATCAATCGAAAGAAGGGATGGAAGATTTAGGCGAACGATTGGTGGACGGAACAAATGTTGTGTAAAATAGATCGTATGTATGTGCGCTGTGTGAATGGAGCATTCTCTCGATGAGGATAGGCTCGACCGAGTTCGTATGGAGGCTGTCTAATCGGAAGCATTGGGAGCTTCTGATGATAGGATGTATATAGCGATTCGTCTTCTTGTAAATAACGCGAACCGAGATCAGATGACAGCATGGACGACTGTTTGGTTAGTTGAACGAACGTTGGAGACAGTGTACACGCGTGTGATCCTCTGATTGATTGGTTCATTGATGGATCGATTACTACCAAGTATTTGGACTTGTGAAATATAGATTCCATGAGGAGGAGACGTTCCTCGGAAAGGAACAGTTGTAATCGCAAGACCGAGGATCAGACTCTTTTCTGATTCAGGTCCACCCCCGACGGATCTCTGTGATTGCCTATGCAGCTGTGTAGTAAATGTGCGCGAGTTGGCCATTCGGTGAGATTGGATCTGTCGAGATTTGAAGTACGCTGCTTACGTTGGAAGGATCTCAATGCAAAATTACGTTCTGGGTGAGACGCAGGCGCTGCAGCAGATATCAGCCTACCTCTCAAATGGAGTTCCCAAGCGTCGACTTGGAACTCCACTCGAAACTCCGAGGAATTTCGTGGCTTGGACGACGGAGTTCCTCCCTCAATCTTTCAATTTCATTTGTTTCATGCGGGATCGGCACTCCGTCAGAATACTCGGCGTAAGAGCTTCCATATTTATTTTGAAAGTATTTTATCCCTTTGTCTACATTGTTCGGGAGCGAGGTGCGCCAAGAAGCAACAACGATTGAAGTGAAGATTTATTCTGGAATATCGAGTCGAAAGCAAGTGCCATCGACAAGTGAAGTGTGGAGGCTTTTTTCGGAGCTAGTCAGTCGGACGATTCATTCAGCGGACGGACAAAAAACGAGGCCGCTATCATTTTTCTCATGCAGTTGGAGTCGATATTTTCATGAATCATAAGTGAATCAAGGTGCGGCTGCGATCCCAGACACTTGATTAGCCAATTATCCAGCGAGCCAAACGATAGAATCAAACCTTTTCCGAAAGCTGCAACGTGCGCCCATCCTTGTCGAAGTTGAAACAAGCGAGATGTAAACATGGTCCTCAACGCTGAATCACAATCGCTCGAGCAGCGGGGGAAACTCTGTGTATAGGAAACGCAACGACTGAAGCTTGAGAATCGAACTGACGATGTAATATAATTTTGATCCAGTTTGTGCAGAAGCGATCGATGAAGATGCTCATGTCTATCGATGCAAATTCCAGATGTGACGGGAGAGAATGAAGTTCAGGTGGAGATGCAAACAGAGAAAAAATGAAAAAGCAATAAAAACCAATAAAATGCATACCGAACGCAAAGAAGCGTTTCGGGAAAACCTAACTACTTCGACTCTTTACTGAAATCCACAATACTTCCGGGGTTCACGACGATTGCAGATTTCTCATAGAAAAGAAGATTTGAATTCCACGTTTGTTGTCAATCGAATTCTCGCTTACGATCTTCATGTTCGGCTTTTCTTCCTGTCGATATATGCGATGAATGTCCGCCTTATCCCACGGATTGAGCTCTACGTCAACCATGGAGTCCGAGCCCGTTCAGGACGCGTCTAAATTGTCCACACCCCCCTGAGAAGGTGACGAGCCAGTAGCAGCTTCTTAAGGTTTGGCGGAAGCCGCACGACTGTCTGGGGGGTCTTGGGGTAGAGAGGGAAGACCGGTGCCGGTGTACAGTTACGCTTCGGCTGAGAGGAGGAGTTCGCTGATTTCAGTCGCCATCTAGGTCAGTGTGCGTCGCGCGAATAGCAACGGCGAAATCATTCATGAGATGGCTTGCTCACGGGACTCGCAAGCGATTCGACGTCTCTTGTCAGGTGAGAGCGTGGCTGGAGTAGGATTCCTGATGCTCCATGCAGCCGGAGGGACCTTGCGTGAGATCCGATCCTTCTCCACCGGTCTTCCGAGACCAGACCTCTGGAATAGTACTTTTCCAAACCGGGAAATCTCGACGCTGGATTGTGTCGAGTGACGACTGCAAGCGCCCAACAGGCCGCTCCGAGGATTTCATTGATTCCTCCTCCTGGGATTAATTCAAATTCCTACCTCGTTTGCCGTAATCGGTATCATCCAAAATCACTTACGCGATAAGCTGAATTCCGGGTAAGCGGGCAGGGCTGCCTGATTGCATGCTCACTTTCTGGTTGGCTCGTCCCCAGGTCCGTGTGTCTTTTCTGCCACCACAGGGCTCGGGCAGAAATCCTCCTTCAAACTGTTCCGGTTTCCACGTTTCGCGTGTCTGTGCGTCCGTCCGTCTGTTAGTCCGCACGTCTTTCTCTTCGTGTGACTGCTTCCCGATCTCGCCGCAGAGCATTGTTCGCTCGACTGTTCTGGAATCAGCAACGATGCTGCCGCCCATTATGATCCCGAAGAAAACTCGCCGCAAAAATCCACAGAGGAGTACTAACAGCCCGAACTCAGAGATGATTCAATAGGCGGACGTATCCGAACGTATTGCTCGAGTCATCGAGTGCCCTTCGAATCTTTGCGTCATGTGGAGTTTTCGATCGCGGCCGTCGAAGACTTTTCTCTTCATGCTCGACGTACTGCTCGGAGAAAGAATGGACGGATAGACGATCGGAAAAGCGATGGACTGACGTAAAGGCAAACACAGCTTACAAGAAGGGTCTATCCAAGTGATAAACGCAAAGAAAATGTTTATCTTGGCTACTGTGTGGGAAGTTGTCCGACGACTATCGGATCCACCACAAGGAGTTCCCTCCCTCGTCCAAGAGTTTCGTCCTGTAAGTAAATACAAATATCTAGTGATCTTGATTCGTGAGGAAGCTCCTAGACGAGGTTAGACCCGGAGGAAATCAAGGGAATATGAGCAAAATCAACGAAGGTTCTTCGAGCTAAGAGCTCGGTTGGACGAGCGAGGCTGCAGCTCATTGAGAACTTTGACTAACAGCATCTACCGTGAAGCCATCTATAGACGTGAGGGAAGGAGTTCGATCCAGGAAGGCTTGGCTCTGACTGAGGCTAACCCATCGGCTCGCTCGTAGCTTGCATCGGGGAAACCCCGGCCCCGCTGGGAGCGATCGGCGAAAATTAGATAGTTCACGGGGAAATTGAGACATCAACGCAATGTCGGTGGAGGGACAGTACGCTTTTTTCCAGAGTTCATTGGCCGACCGAACTCGTGAGAATGTCGGGTGAGAATCGATATCAAGGTGAAACTTGTCGCTGCGCGCTTTTCGTGCCTATCGGCATCTCGCTGAGCTGAGTGAGTGCCTTCTCGAACTCCAAGAAGCGATAGCCTGCTGTGCTTTGGACTGGTCGCTCGCCCAATCGAGATCGCGCATCCCAATCGGTGACAGGAATCAAATATCGAGTCAGGGCAGCGGCGAGAGCTGACAACGGAACACTCGAGACTGAACGAGAATGGCGTCAGGGAGGAAAGTTCCATTTCACACTGTTGTAGCGGTTTCGGCTCAACTTCTAATCGAAGTTTCCAATCTGGAATCATCTCGAAGAGTAGGCTGCGGAATCGGTCAATCGGTCGGTCGGTCGATTCTCAGACCCTCGCTTAAGGAAGAAACTGAGGAGAACTCTCATGATGTGACTATTCGCCGAAGTGGCCGGAACCGTTCCCCCTATTTTTTTCCTATCACCAGGAGGAAAACATGGCTTCTGTTTAGTTTTACATTTTCTGGAAGGAGGGGGAAGCATCTAGATGGGAATGCAAAGAGCGAGAGCCTCTGTGGGAGTTGCATCTTCCCTCCACTGATGGTACTCTGGCGCTACCGCGTGAGATCAATCCACGTCGGCATCGTGTTTCGAGAAGTCTCTCATTCTTGTTGGACTCGTTCTGGCTTCGAGTTGAGCTCGAGCGTAAGGAAGCAAATTACCCGTCAACCAGGAGAATCCACGCGATGGGAGAAATGGTATATTCTTCCGACTCAAATAATGGCCGACGGCATATAGAACCGTGACGGAAAGAGAAATCTTGTGCGGCCAGTCTTATGAAACTCAGAATTCTTTTCGCCGGTCAGGTCTCGTCTCTCACCTTAGTCATTTCCCCTAGTGATCATCACCGAGGCGTCGACTGTTCTCCGCGTGAGTAAGAACATGTTCCTCTGTCTCGCTACACGCATGCGTGTACATCCGGCAAAGCTGGTATTCTGTGGTTTGTTATTCCCTCCTAAACCCAAGTTCCACCATCGCCCGATGGAGAGCGAGGAAGTTCATGGACCTCCGAGGGTTCCCTGTCTCGTATCGATGTTCCTTCCAACTCTGAGCTCGGCAGCGTCTGGCAAGGGCAAGAGAGATTCGAGCGAGCAGGCACGCATTCCCGCCTATTGCGCGATAATCAATCAACATGGAAGGGGAACGACGTTGATGCCGCCTCGGCAGCGGAATAAAACTCCGAGGCACGCGATCAATTCCATATTAACGGCAATCGTCATCACCGGCCCTGGCTCACTGTCCTATCCGATGGGGAGTTGGGTACAGCATTAGTATTTTCCCTCGAGTGAGAGATTCTGATCGTGATTCTCTCTCTGGACTCTCTGTTGGCCCCCGCTAGTGAAGACCGACTGACGAACCCACCGACCAAGATGTGGGAATTCCCATAGTGATTCACCCAGATCTAACGGAGAAGAAGGTAACGGTGGTCACGTTGGCCGAGAGCCTTCACCTCGATTCTTGGGAGGGTAGTTGCGGCATTAGGTGCATCGATGGTGGCTCCGCTCGCTCGCTCGCTCATTCGTTCGCATGCCCGTTCGTCAGGGTGGGGTGTTGACTCGGTTCGCCGGAACGACCGAGCACACGGGAGCGGAGGAGGCTCTTTTTTCCTCCTCGAGCGCACTGTTCGAATATTTCCTCGGGC